TTGTTTTTACGGTGGAATTCTGGCAACCCCAGCTGCCGGCGTTTTACCGTAAAACAAAAAAAAAAAAACTTATTTTACCTGTAATTTGGTTTTACGGTGGAATTATGGCAACCCCACAATGTAAAAAAAAGAAGAAGAAAAAGAACGTAGATTTTATGGTAGAACACCGGCAGCTGGAGTTGCCGAAATTCCACCGTAAAAACAATTATGGTGTTGGGAACCGGGGTTGTTGGAATGGTTCATCTTTGCTGCTTTCCCCCTCTTTTACCACCAGAGGGTGCCAAGAAGCTGTTCCTTCCTGAGGGCGTTGCCGGTGGTTCCTGGATTCCTGCACACCTTCTATTAATCAGATCATCTGGAGGAGTATGTGAGGAGGGAGCTGCCGACACTTCAGCTCCAGAGTGTTAGCCAGTAGTTGGTACTCCAGCCCTCCGTGCTTCTCACTGTTATCTCCCGTTGTGGACCTCAAGTGATATCTCCTTGTGCCTCTTCCTCAGGTTATTCCTCGTGACGCTGTGGATGTTCCCCACTGGTTGCCCAAGCTCCTGGCTTCCTCCGAGCTTTCCTCTCCTCGTGACACCATGGAAATTACCCACTGGTTGCCCGAGTTCCACTGACACCTCCGCAGTTAACCAAACCTCCTTGGATTTCTCTGTCGGAAGTCTCACTCACTCCTCGCCTCCTGTGATTCAAAGCTCAACTGTCCGCCCTCTACCACAGCCTTTTTGTTGGTCAAGCAGCAACCCTCCACCTGAACCAAACCCCGATAACCAGTGATTCTTCCTCCCAGACAAGACCTACCTCCACCCAAGTAACACCAGTCGTTTATTCTGACACTGCCGTTTTCCACGACCCCTAAACTCACCATCTCTCTTTTTTCACATTCCAGTGCTCCAGTGATCCAGATTGCAGACTTTGTCCAGAACCTTATTGTTGATTTTATGTTTAGAATAAACTTATTTGACTGATTTCTGTTCTCCGCCTGGTGTTCTGCATGTGGGTCAAGAAATTAGACTCCATCATGACATGCGGGTAAAATCAGTTTTTTTGTTTTACGGTAAAACGTTGGTGCCTGGGGTTGCCAAAATTCCACTGTAAAAACAACTATGGGTAAAGTCTGTTTTTTTTTGTTTGTTTGTTTTACGGTAAAACGCCGGCAGCTGAGCTTGCCGAAATTCCATCGTAAAAACAATCACGGATCAAATCTGTTTTTTGTTTCATAGCGGAATTTCGGCAACCCCAG